GATCGGCAAATGATCGGCAAATGATCGGCAAAATGATCAACAAATGTGATAATATGAAGTATGTCCACCCTGCTCCTGTGACTACTACCATTAGTTATTATTTATTTTTCATAACAATGTACAAAACTCGAGGTCGGTCTTGAAACATAATTCAACAATTTCCTGCCAAGAAATTCTTACGATCAAATTTTCGAATTTATGAAGACTATTCAGAAGAAATCGTACAATTTCAATTTTTTTCTTATTGAGAAGTAAATTTGACCTTTTATATCAATTATCAGTAATGATATGTTGTATATAATCATAATTATTTATGTATAAAAATTTATATTTACAAAAAACTTTATTTTTAAAAGTGTAAAATATAATAATAAAAAAAATGATAATGAAAATCCCCTTTAATGGAATAACCACAAGTATAATTTAAAAAAAAAACTTGATGAAATAATAATTATTTTTACATGAAAAAGAAATTTGGTGATAAAATATTATAACGATGAGTATCAATGAATAGGTATCTGATATATATATATATATATTTTTTTTAACCAATTATATTACTTAATATTCTATCAATTGAGGTGCTCGAGAACGCCTTTAAACGTCTAAAATGCTCTATCTTGTATTCAATCCCTTGTTTATAAAGTTCGAAAATATTATTAATAGAATCTATCGTAAATTGAGATACAAGGGGAATAGTAGTATGATTTGTATATTATAAAGATATAGTTTCAGTGAAAATTTGTCGTTGAAGCATGTAGCTGCTAACATTGATTCATTCCCATATGCGTCGATAATAAATTGGTAAATTTTAGGAGAAAATATCAATGATTTTCTTACTAAAAATTCTACATCATTAACATTTTCTTTTTGAAATGTTTCTTGGATAATTTTTAGTATAATATGAATATGTTCGGAATATTCGGCTTTTGGTTTTTAAATTGTTCAATATCAATATTTTTTTGAGACCCTTGATGGCTTAAAAGCCTCTTTAAAAAAGGCCGGCAACAAATGAATCATTTGATTCATTACTTCGAATTGTGGAGAAAACGGTCCAAAATATATCGTCGTAATCGTCCAACTTATTCTCATAGACCAGTAAGGTGTCTACTATGGATTTGTTGTCGAGAGTTCAAACCCTAATTCGATGAGCTTAGTAAGACGTGATATTATACTTTCGGCAGTAGGAATAGTCCATCCGGATGGTGGTGATGGGGGAAAAAAAATGAGTAATGCTTCCGACATGACAAGAACGTTTGCATCATTACATATTCCAAATCCTTAATGGAAAATGCAATCTTTGGCAGCGTTCGGAACTAATAGTTTCTTTCATTATTTGTCATAGATTCAACCACAACATTAATTTTACGATCAATGGACGGATCTTGACTATTTCTATCCATGATTACATATTTTGTCGACTAGAATATGATCAATATGTGATGATTTTTGTTATCCAATATTGCTTTCATATCCAATCTCATCTGACTGTGCAACACGCGAAGAATTGGATCCGACACAAGGTACTTCACATGGTGATAAGGGAGTTGGTTATTGTTGATGTTCAGCAGAAGTTGTCGGCCAATCTGCAGATCTCATTAAACCGTCAACAAACGGAGGATTGGGCGCATTTGTAATAGGAACAGAAATAGGCCAGATATCCTTTGTTGTTGCCTAATAAAATGTCCGGATAATCATGTCGACTTTGTTGTAATTGTCTACTGGAGCATCATATATTTTTTAGTGCTCAATCTGGGAAGATAGTGCTCGTTGATGATCCAGATAACTTTGAGGTGGTGAAACATTGAAGGAAGCTAAATAGAGATGGTGAATTTGGAGCTTGCACACGAGGAGACAAATTCTCGTTGTTAGATGTGTAACCGTCTGCTTTTCTCGTACGTAATTTTTTGAGTTCAGATCTCCCCCACTAGAAACTTTCGCCCAAAAACGCTACCAAACTGATATCTATCAATTGGTG